TTTAACATTAAAATTTGCACGTTATAACTCTAGTTCTTTATTTGATGCCTTTTATATGACGTTGTAAAATGCATTAGCCCCAATATTTCCTTTTTCCAATATTTAATTCCTGTATTTTGTCGCCCTCTACTGTTTAATATGAAGACTACAATAAAAGAGTGCTTTAAATAATTTTCCATTCCCGTAGTATTGCCTGAGATGAGATATATTAAATACTGATATGTTTAGAATATTATTTAATGTTGTCCTAAGAATATATTTTACATTAACCCTATAATAAAATTGATTGTAATGGATATTATTGGACGCAATATATATAAAAAGAGTTCTGTCTCTTTAAGAAAGACCATTCTGTCTTCTTGACGCTTGATTTAGACGTCAGAGCTACTTTCTGCGCCACATGTGTTGAACGAGTCGATTTATCTCTGTAGTTTTCCTCAAAAACATATTGGAATGGACTCAAATCTTTATGGATAAAGACAATATTTTATAAGAAACACTCTTTTAAAGTAAGAATTACTTCAGATAAATGTGTTTTTGAGAAGGTATTGGCTTGTAGAGTACAGCGTCACATTAGATATATTAGATCTGTTTTAGTGTGATTTTACCGATATCCTGCATTCTTTTTTTAAAATCTGTAATAGTTGTGACATGCAGTAATGGCTCTCCTGGAGAAGAATGACGTTACAACAGACCTAGAAACACAAGCTATGGCCAGTGAAGGAGAGTTAAATGACCCTAAACCAGAGGAGGAGGAGAAAGCAAACTGTGTCCAACATGCTGACCAGGAGATGAACTGTGAAGATGGTAATGATGATGATGATGATGATGATGATGATGATGATGATGGTGGAGCTCTTGAAGCGGGGACTAATGAAGAAGATGAGCTTGAGAAACCAACGGGCAAGAAACTTATTCCAGGTATCGTGTATATAGGACACATCCCTCCGAGGATGAGACCAAAACACATGCGGAATATGCTGAGTGTGTACGGAGAGATCGGCAGGATCTTCCTACAGCCTGAAGGTAAAAAACTACATGACTGAAATAAAGCTGTTGACTTGTCTTTTTGACTTATTTCTAAAACATCCCCAAACTTTTGAACAGCAAGGTATGTGTCTGTATAGCCTGTGTGTGTGTGTGTGTGTGTGTGTGTGAGAGAGAGAATGTATTATTTATGTGTGTGTGTGTGTGTGTGTGTGTATGTATTATTTATTTATATATATATATATATATATATATATATATATTTGCATGCACACACACACATACACTGTCCGCTGTTTGGATATATAAAGTTTCTGGCATGTTATGTGTTTGGCACCAGTTCTTCTAAACCCTATGGAGTGTGTAGCTTTTCATTTCTTAAATAATCATGTAGGAAGACATGACAATGTCAAGATCAGGCTCAAATTGTGAAATAATGGTTGTGAGGGAGCATGAAGACTAATTTTCGCTCATGAATTGACACCTCTGAGTCCAGACCTTTAATTAATTGAAAGTCTTATGGATGTGCTGGAGGAGACTTTACAGAGTGCTGGACTCTTGCATTGTCAAAACAAGTTTTTGACCAAAAATTGATGCACCTCTTGATGGTAATAAATGTTGTGATATTATTTCTATCAAGAGAGGTGCATCAATTTTTCACTCTTACTGTGTGAAAGTGCATGTTTTCATGTTTGACCAACATTCCCACTAAAAATCGGACTCTCTTCTAGATCGTTGTGTAAAAAACAAGAAAAAGAAGGCAGGGAGCAGATCATCCAGTTTCACTGAGGGATGGGTGGAGTTCAGAGACAAGCGCATCGCCAAGAGAGTCTCAACCACTCTGCACAACACACCCATGGCCAACAGGAAGAGGAGCCATTTCAGCAGTGACCTGTGGTCCATCAAGGTACATAATACAGATACACTGCCACAGAGGTGTGAAGAGTACCTGGAAACAGTGAGGTGCTGTAATAATGTAAAATATGGGGGAAATTGTTTTGTTTTTTTAAACAATAAAGCATAAAAGCATTTTCTACTATACACCAAAACAAAATCAAGACTTTGTAAAAGGGCAAAATAGGACCCCCTTTAAAGGGTTAATTCACCCAAAAATGAAAATGATGTCATTAATGACTCCCCCTCATGTCGTTCCAAGCCCGTAAGACCTCCGCTCATCTTCAGGACACAGTTTAAGATATTTTAGATTTAGTCCGAGAGCTTTCTGTCCCTCCATTGAATCAATATAAAAGTTTTTTTTTTCATATTGAAACTGTTGAAAATACACAACAACGTAAGTTTATTAGTATAATATTTTTATTAAGAACTGTAAAGAAGATTGAAAACATTTTTCCTCCTCCCGAGTGCCTCATCTTCTTAATCTCCTCACGTAAATGATTCGATTTCGATGCCTTACGTTTCTTACCCACCGCAGAAACAACCACAGGTTCATCAATGCCGTCAAAATTATTCATTTTTTTGTTTGTTTGTTGATCGAAAAGTACAAAATAGATAAGAAAAACTAGGAAGCCGGGTGTATTTAAGGCGCTGCCGTTACTGTTTACATTGCGTGGAATGGTCCGTTGTGATTGGTTGAGAGCGGATATATCGCATTCTGCAGAGAAGGGAGACTGGCGTTTGTCGCGGTTTGGAAAGAAAGGGAGAAAACATGACAGAATAACACGGCGGATATCGCATTTTACTTAAAATTAAACATTGACTTTTCAATACCAACCAGATACAATACTGATTTTTGCAGTAACTAATTTTTTTTTTTAATGGCGTTTATCGCGTTTTGGAACCAAACTCTTCATATGTACCCTCATACGGGCATGAAATATACACTTATATAAAAACACATTCTACACATACGCCTATAAACATACCTACACATGTACATACATAGGGTGAGTCATTAATGACATAATTTTCATTTTTGGGTTACTTACCCTTTAAGTATTTTACTCATACTGAATGTAGGCTCAGAAATACACTAGTCCTCAACACCTAAGAGACATGCCAGTGAAAAACAAGAAACAGTTGATTTGGGAGGAGAGGAATCACGTTTATTTTCTAAAATCAAGAGAAAACTGAACACCTCAAAATTGCAATCGACACAACAGCGTCTTAAATGTCTACAAACACTCAAGTCCCAGTTAAGCTCAAGTTCTCAAAAAGGGCATAAGTAAACCAATATCCTTCAAAAAGTTATTTTCAACATCAATCAAATAATGTTGCACTTACACTGGTTTGGACCTCATCACAGGCTGCATGTCCTCATCTCATATTTGAAACGCATGCGATTAACAACTACATGCTAATGCATCTGCATTCGTGCAAGGTAGCTTTATTGACAAGTTTAGGTAAGGGCAAAACGCACAAGATATAGTACCTTCAATGGCCTGTAGATGGCTATCACTTATTTTGTAGCAGAAATGAACTGCTGCAGAAAAGGTTCAGTCTGGGGCAGAATGTAATGTGTAATTGTATTACTCGTCATCCGTCATCACGAATCTATCGGAGTGTACTATACTAATTACATTTACTCAAATAATTTACACCACTGCACTACCGGTCAAAAGTTTGAGGTCAGTACTCAGTACGTTTTTTGTTTATTTTTAAGAAATTATTTTTATTTAGCAAGAATGGTTTAAATGTATCTAGTTACAATAGACATTTTTAATGCTACTAAAGATTTTTTATTTCAAACAAATGCAGTACTTTTGAATTTTCTATTTTTCAAAGGATCCTGAAATTTGTTTTATCATGGTTTTCCAGAAAATTATTAAGCAGCACAAATGGTTGGAACATTGATAATAAAAAGATTATTAGAATCTGAAGGATCATGTGACACTGAAGACTGGAGTAATTTTGATCAAATAATTGCAGCATAAGAGATAACCCACAATTTTGAATTTGTACAATATAAAATTAATAATATATGACTTTTTTCTTTTCTCTCTTTCATCAAGTATCTGCACCGGTTCCATTGGTGCCATCTCAGCGAGCGATTGGCTTATGAGCAGACGGTCTATCACCAGCGTATGAGGACGGAAATCTCCCAGGCGAAGAAGGAGACCAACTTCTACCTGGCTAGTGTGGAAAAGAGCCAGAATCTGGACAAACTAAAGAAGAAGAAGGAGAAGAAGGGAGAGGTTGTAGAGGAGAAGACATGGGACTACAAACAGCGTTCTACAGAAGAAGAGATCCACCTGAAACGGTTTAAGAACAAAGGCATATCCAAGAAGAACCTCCAGAAGGCACAAGAGAAGAGCAAAACCATCCAGGACAAAGCTCAGTCAAACGTTTCCCTCCTGGCCAAGATCTTCAGTAGTGGAAGGGCCCAGGAATGATGTGCTGAGAACATTAAGGTTACTGTCAGGTTTTGGTGATACTGCAGACAAGAGTGGTATTGGCGGTTACTTCAGATGCATTTTCTTTTCTTCTCGTAATTGCTTGCATACTTCTCAACATTCAATCTTTGAACCGATGTTCTACTTGTATTGTTTTTATCTGTCAGAGAACAGATGTAAACCTCTTGTAGATTGTTCTGATTGACAGTGTCATACTTTCGGAGTAAAACACTGTATAACTCACACAAGAACGCCCCACCATTGTGAAAACGGTGCTCCATTTTCCCATGAAAAGAGGCTTAATGTCCTCTGAAAGCATAATAAATTGTTTATTCATGAAATTGCACTCTAATTCTACCTCCTGCCTGTTTCCTAAATTTGCTCAAGTAATTTATTTAATTATTTTTAGTCTTTGTTTTTACATATAAATGATCATTGGGTGAGTTTTTGGGGTCATATCAATTATTCATATTATTTTAATATTAATAATATTGTCTTTAGATACAAATTGTCCTAAGTAATGAGCCAAAAGTAATGATTTTATTTATTGTATTAATACAATCTCAATATGAAGGACTTCTGTGCTTAGAAAAAAAAAAACTTTTTCATGTTTATCAAACAATACAATTACCTTCCTGAAAAATTTTACAATATATCACAAGATTGTATTGTAAAATATCTTAAACCATAGGTCAGTAGAAATGGTGTACAATGACATTTCACAGCATTACATTGTGACAGTTTTTTTTTTGGTAAGGACAAAAAGATCAGTTTGTCTGATCTTAGAAGACATGGCATCACAAGACAGAAACATTGGGTATTTTAGAGGAATTGGCTTGTTCATTTCCACCTTGTTTCGCCCCTGTTTAACACAACCATTTATAAACATCTGCTTGTAAAATGAGATCTTCCTCATCCTAAGAAGACAGATTTCTCCAGGCCATCTTCTGCTTTGGTGTACTCCAGGTAGGACGGGTAGTATCGGCTCTCATAGCGTGGGTTGTTCCTCACATATTTCAAATATTCTGGGGCTCCAGGACAAATGACGTTGTCAGCCAACAGGACAGTGCCTTTTTTGAGTAGACCACAGTCCTACAATGTCATAAAATAAATACGTTTGTAATTTTCCTTATGTTAGGATGATTACTAAAGGGGTTAAAGTACACTGCTAAAGGGATCATCGGATGAAAATTCACTTTTATATGGTGTTTGCATTTAAATGTGTCTTTGGAGTGTGTGGATACAACCACCATACAATGAAAAAAATCTATTCACTCCTTTTTTTTATCCTCAGTCTCAATAATCAGGCTGTTTTGATTTTCTGAGCACTATGATGTCATAATGCTCATGCTCCGCCCACGACCACTGACGGACTGTCCCGTATTAGCATATTTCTGCCTTCAGCCATTCGACACCCCCCATGGAAGTGAGGTTGCTCATTATCATTTAAAGAGACATGCACCTAAACAGGTCACTGTGAACAAAGCTGTTTTTGAAAACTGGTGTTGTTTTACACAACCATTGAGGAATTAAAAAAAAGTATATTACAAACTTTACATGAACACCCTAAAGAATCATACCAACTTGTGGAAAATGGGCATCCGATGACCCCTTTAAAAATAAACGTTCCAAAAGGGGGGTTTTCCACTGGAAAAACAGGTACTGTAAAGAACCTTTTGTGCTGTGGAAAACTTCTATGGATGTTAAAAGTTCATTGGAACCATAGATGACAATAAAGAACCTTTATGTTTTAAGTGTGTAAACAGTGTAATTTTGGGGCTTCTTACCTCAAGAAGTTTAGTATCTGGGACGTAACGATCTTTCCAGTGGTCCAAAAACACAAAATCAAAAGATTTTAATCCAAATCGCTCCTTCATTTTAGGAATCAAATCACCAGAGGCTCCCTCCACTATAGTAACCTTTAAAAAAACAACGAAGATATTTTCAGTGCTTTGAGATGTCACTGCTGGTATCAACAAAATAATCGCTTAGTTTGGCATTACAAAATGTTCTGTTTCCTGCCTTCAATTCAAACAAAACTGGCATTTGAATGATACAAATGTGCAGTGGAGAAGCAATAGCGAAGATTAAAAAGCATTTGGTTAACAGAAAAGATTTTGTTATTTTCCAACATCCCACATTTTTTTTTCAATAACGACCCGTTTTGTGTCTGCCCCTTTAAATACAAATGAGCTGCTGCTCCCGTCACAGAGGGCGGGGTTTCAAGAGCTCGCGTGCGTTAGCAGCTCCGATTACTCCGCAGACACGCACTAAAATGTCAGAAACTGTTCTGCCTTTTCTGTTTAAACCGGAGTCAGACAAAGATGGAGAGACTCAAGAAGAAGTGACAACACGTAGAATGCAACAGGACGTCTCTGAATGGTTAGTTGATGAATTTATGTTGCTGGTGTGGAGTTAACTATCTAGCATATTCTGTCATGATAATCTATAAAATCGCTCGCTGGCATATCAAGATGCTGATTACAGCATGATTATTGCACAGGTGTGCCTTAGGCTGGCCACAATAAAAGGCCACTCTAAAATGTGCAACAATTGGGTGACATCTCCGGTGAGTATGCTAGCCATGCAAGAACTGGGATGTTTTCAGCTTCCAGGAATTGTGTACATTTCCTTGCAACATGGGGCCGTGCATTATCATGCTGCAACATGAGGTGATGGTTGTGGATGAATAGCACAACAATTCGCCTCAGGATCTCGTCACGGTATCTATAATACAATGCACCTGTGTTCGTTGTCCATAACATACGCCTGCCCATACCATAACCCCACAGCCACCATGGGCCACTCGATCCACAACGCTGACATCAGCAAACCACTCACCCACACGACGCCATACACGCTGTCTGCAATCTGCCCTATACAGTGAAAACCGGGATTCATCCGTGAAGAGAACACCTCTCCAAAGTGCCAGACGCCATCGAATGTGAGCATTTGCCCACTCAAGTCGGTTACTGACGACAAACTGCAGTCAGGTCGAGACCCCGATGAGGACGACGAGCATGCAGAAATAGGCCTTTTGTGTACATAGAAAAAGTCTTAGATCTTTGAGTTCAGCTCATGAAAAATGGGGGCAAAAACAAAAGTGTTGCGTTTATAATTTTGTTCAGTGTGTGTATATATATATATAGGCCTATATATATATACTCACTGTATAAATATATATATATATCAATTTCTTCTTCTTTTTTTCCTTTTCTTTGTTTTTTGGCTAGTAGAAGTTCTGAATGGCCGGTAACATAAAAATTTAGAAGCCAAATTGACCGGTGAGTAAAAAAGTTAATTTCAAACCCTGAAAGTAATAAATATGGATATTTTTCTTACAAGAACGCTTTGCTACAGAAAGCCTTTATTAACCCCCTGGAGCCGTGTGCATTACTTTTATGATGGATGGATGCGCTTTTTTGGGGATTCAAAATTACAATTCACTCCCATAATAAAGCTTGGAAGAGCCAGGATATTTTTTAATAAAACTCCAATTGTGTTTGGCTGAAAGAAGAAAGTCATAATTATACACCAAGGGTGGCTCTAGGCTAGGGTGAGTAAATTATTGGATAATTTTCACTTTTGGGTGAACACAAACCCTTTAATTTTAACTAATGTGTAAACAAATGTAGGCTAACCGTATTGTAGGCTAAGTTGTTACCGGTAATTTGATGCCATTTGCTGAATTAAACATGCAATGGAAAGAGGTCAAATGGCAAAAATGTAGCATATTATATTATAATTTCACACTTTGTTGTATTTTGTAGTTTATTTACATACATATACTGTTTAGAAACTAGTAAGCAGTAGCCTATACTGTTTGCAACAAGCAGCACACAATATTCTATTCCAAATATAGCATACTAGCTCTTTTTTTCTTACTTTGTCCTGAAGGCCGGCGTAGGCGATGATCTGACGAGCAATGGCGGCAAAGGCTGGGTTGAATTCGACGGTAATGAGTTTGGAGTTGGGGGACAGCAGTCGAGCGATACGAACGCTGGAGTAACCACAGTATGTGCCAAGCTCCAGAGCCATGCTGGGGTTCACCTCCGTCAACACTAAATCAAGTATGAGCCCTTCAGAGAGACACAGAACTCAACTGAATTCAGAAAACAAACCAATGAGATGGCTAATGGCGTAGGCGAAATATCATTAGGGCCTTTCTGCCCCATTAGCTGCATTGATTCATCAGTGCCTGCTGTCGCAGATTGCAGAAGTAAACTAAAAATAGTACAAAAATAAACTAAAAACTCAGAACTAAGCCTAAAGTAGGCTTATCATTCAGTGCAATTTTTTTTTCTTACATTGTATTTGCTTGTTTTCCAGTTCAAACGTCTAAACATACTTAAATTAAAATACATTTAGCCTACTTGAGACGCAAAATGACTTACAAGATATAAAAAATTACAAGATAGTAAGTCCGAAATATGTTTCAAAATTAAGTGAAGTTCCTTAAAACATAGTTATTTTTTTTTATCCCATTGGAAGATATTTTTCTTGATTTAATCATAAACCATGGATGAAGGGTTAATGCAGTTAAACTAAAACCATAAAAAAACAACGAAAAAACAAAAACGAACTTAAATCAAATAAAATAGAAAAAAAACTGGAGGACGTGCCAAGGCAACACTTCTGATGTACTAAAATAACTAAAACTAAAATATCATCTTTACTTTTTTTTAAACTAATAAAAATGACAAAATTGCTAAAACTTTAAAGTAAAAGTAAAAAATGGAAAATATTGAAATATTTAAACATTTAAAATATTAACAAAAACTAATATCTTGATTATTTTGCTTCTCAGGTAAATGTGTCTTAATATATTTATAAATATATGAACTGTAAAACAAGACAAAAATCTTTTTTGCAGTGTTTTTGCCCATTGCCTCCAATCATCCCTTCTTTTTTTTATTCTTTTCTTTTAAGGATTCATGAAGTCCAGTTCCCCTCAAATTCAAATTATGGACGTGTTCCAATATAGTCTGACAACTATCACCAAATATCAAAATATACTAACTTTGTATATCACATAAAATAGATTCACAGCCCATTCTGGATCACATGTGAAATGAATCTCAGTCCCATAATGCATTAGTGCATTGTGTTGGATGCAATGGCTGCACATTGTTCATGCAACTAGTGTGCGTGTGTGCAGTCACGCAGAGAGCATATTGACCCAGTAGACAGGAGACTGCCATCACTTCTCATTCAGAACAGCCGGCTGTGAGCTGCCTCAAGGCCATTTACTCAAGACCAGGAGAGAGAGAGATAATACAAGGGAAAAAATATCAAGCAATTGGTAAGAACATTAGAAAGGGCGCAGAGAAGAAGGCAGGGAAGGGAAAACAGGATGCTACCTTTCTCATCGCCCACGTTCATGGCCCATTCTTTGTGCCGGCAGTAGTAGTCGATGGCTGAGATCACGCTCTGAGAGTCGCCTTTTGTGGCGTTCTTTTGAACAGCTTTCAGTATGCGCTGTGTTCATATAAATCAGAAATGATCAACACCAGTGTTCTTCAGCAAAGCCAGAGAACAATACTTGCAAGATACAGACATAACACGAGGCCAGTATTATTTTAATCTATTTTATAGGGTTTTATAATCCTGTTTAATCAGCATTCCTTTTAAAAAAATGACTGTCACAGTACCATGGTACAGTTACCAAAGTCTTATTAATACAATACAATAATGAAAATCATTTGAATTTTTTATTTATTTAAATTAAGTGCATTATGTAACCATAATGTATAAATATTTTACAATTTAAATAATTTATCATTATTACAGTAACGAGAATTTCTCTTTGCGTTATGGCTTTATTTTCATAATGGAAAGATGGTAACACTTTGTTAACTAACAATGAACAATACTTGTACAGCATTTATAAATCTTAGTTTATGTTAATCTCAACATTTACTACTACATTTTTAAGATCGAAAGTTGTATCTGTTATTATTAGTTAATGTGATCTAACATGAACATTTTTATTAACTAACATTAACCAAGGTTAATAAATGCTGTATTAATATATTGCTCATTGCTAGTTTATGTTAGTTAATGCATTAACTAATGTTAACAAATGAAACCTTATTGTAAAGTATTTAATAATAAATACCTAAAAAATTATTTTGAATGCAAACATTTTTTAATGGAATATGTTCTTAAATGTGATGAAACGACAGTGCAAAAAAAAAAATAGACCCCAAATAATATAATTTTTAATAATAAATATATTTAAATAATGTTTTAAAGTATTTGTTTAATTCACCAAAAACAAAATACTACCATGTACAAGACAGTACTTCCATGATACATGCCCCAAAACATGGTATCCAAAACATATTAATGCCATGGCACCTTTTGTTACTTTTTTATCAGCCTCTTTGACAGCAGGATGATCTCTGCACACGTGAGTGACGTATGTATGAATGACAGCGAGGGTCACCTGAGGTCGTGATGATCCCGTCGTGATGTTCAGGACCCGCTCAAGGATGACATCGTGCCAGATGAGCGCCAGCCAGCCGCTGTTCTGCACAGCTGCAGGGATGAGCCAGTGATAGAGGACGTACAGGACAGCTGCTGAAACCACCGCCACTGCCAACAAACTCAACAGCATCCTGAGAGAGAGAGACAGAGGATCACTAAGAGAATAAATGATTAAGGTCAGCAAAAAAATATGACATTAACAGCACCACGATTCACAAAGGATGAGACTTCAAAGCATTGTCAGGGAGAATTACACAAAAACAGACATGGCGTCAGTGTAAATCAGGGAAATGTGATGAAGGTCAAAGGCTAGATCTACAAAGTCAGTGAGAAATAATAAATTATATTTTACTGAAAGATAATAAAGCCTGTATGTAATTATTTGAATGACTAGTTCGATCATGATAGAGGGTGTAGACTGATCTGCAAGCATTCACATCATTATAACAAGGCACAAGCTGATTGGCCTCTGCTGATCCTGCAGCCAATGAGATTGCTTGCTCAACATTTAAATGTTCCTCTGAAACTCATAAATGTTCCTCTCAAACTCTCTGCTACAGGATTTATGGATATCTAATTATGCAGCAGCATATCTTACATATATATGTAATATATATATATATATATAAATATCAGTTACATTTTCTAAATTCGTATTGTTGTAATGTGCATGTACACTTTGCATTTGAGTTCTCATTATTCACATTAATTATTCTCATTAGATTTGCATAATACAGTAATGATATTCAACCATGTCTGAACACAATGATTTTTGATTTAAATCAAAATAAAGGCAGAACAACTAATTCTACCATTCAAATATTTTACAATCTAAACAATGTATTATTTGTATTGTCTGTGACAGTAATGTGAATTTCTTTCTTTGTTTGCATTATGATGAGAATGCAATTTTTTTGACAGTCATGAAAAATGCCCTGTATTTTGTGATGAAAATAATGTCACAATGCAAAAAACGGTTTGGTTTATTAATGCAAAATTGTTTTTTATAAAAAATTGTAATATTTGTATTTATTAATGTTTATTTTTACTAATTTTGGAGAGAAATACAACAGACTTTGTGAAACTAATCTCATTTCAACATTGACCTTCCTCAAACCTCAAGCAACAAAACCTTTGGACCTAAGTTATTGGTTAACTCATGGGTCATGACATACAGCCACACCTGTGTAAATACACACAGTTCTAGCAGCAATATTATGATGCAAGATCAAATGATGTACATGCCAACATTAACATTAATAGCCAACATTTAAGATATTACAAATAATCAGTAGTATTCTGACTGGCCACATAAAAAAATGACACGCTAGATATAATAAAAGACAGGACAGGGTTAAAAAACCCGTTTGACTCTCAGTGATGTCGAGTGCCAAACTCTCCAATCCCCTCTCCTGTTTCAATCCAGTGCTCCTGGAAAACAGTGAAAGCTCCTTTGTCTTTGCTGCAGATTTGGCCACAAGCATTGGGAAGGAAATGAATGAACACAGCTTCATCTCACAGCTGATTTACCACTAACATGAACAGAGTGTGCTTTGTTATGGCTTGCAAAATGATAATTTAAAGCCAAAAATGGATCTTAACGGAATAGTCCACCCAAAATAAATATTCCGTCATCATTTACTCACCCTTATCTCATTCCAAAACCTGTTTACCAGTTTATTTTGTCTATATAACATCGGACCCCACTGACTTTCATTGGACAGGCTTTTTTGAAATATCTTCTTTGTGCTCCACAGAAAGAAAGAAAGTTTAGAATGACATGAAGGTGAATAAACGCTGACAGAAATATCATTTTTGGATGAACTAAAGAACCTCAAGAGTACAGAGAAGTACAGTATGTGTGCAATATACCGCCACGTGTAGGAGATATTACAGTGCCGGCACTGATCCTCCTAATACATTCCAATTAATAAAGCTCAGAATAAGGTGTTCAGCTCCGGCTTTCTGTGCAGACACAATGGGTCGCTCATAAAGGACTCCAAACACGATCCACTGGAGGCATAGTGACAGTAGGAGCCTGTGTGCTGTCAGAGCGTGCTTTAATTAAAGATGGTATCGCTACATATGCAGACCTGCAGCTGAAAATACAAACCCTAAAAGAAGCAGACAGACTGAAAGACAGAAGTGTCTTTCTTAAGCGGCCAGTTGTACAGCTTCTGGCTCCTCCACACACGTGCTGATAGAGTAGGTGTCATCAGCCTGCCATGCAGAGACCTGACGACTTTAAGCAGGACTGCATTCTGATGACAAGGCCACATGAATATTTCAATCTTCTGCTTAATTATAGATTGCAGCTAGACATGAAGCTGAAGTGTGCTGTTTACACGAAGGCACCATTATAACACCTTTGCATGCTGTGTGCGAGATGTGTCAATATTTCAATCACCATCTTGCTTGTGAATAAATATTGAAGTGTGAACAATATTGGTTGAGCTGGATCATGCATAAAGTTACATAAACACGACGTGTCACTGCAAGAAATGATTCTCACATGATACATAACTCACATATTCCATTCACAGCATGCATTTACAGCAACAAAGAACAATCTGTTGCAATATTGTGCCAAACAACATTTCCATAATCTTACTTCCTTTTGCAGCTGTCTTCACATAGGCTACACACACACACACAGATAGAGAGATGAGCTTCCCTTTCCCTTTTCCTCCGATGCGTTTATGGCTTTCTC